AAAAAAAAAAAAAAAAAAAAGAGTTCCAGTTTTGCCATACCCTCACCACTACATGTTACTGTCTTTTTTTTTTTCTCTATAGCCACTGTATGTGAAGTGGCATCTCATTGTGGTTTTCATTTGCATTTCTCTGATGATTGAAGGTGCTGAGCCTCTTTCTATGTGCCTGTTAGATTTGTGTATCTGCTTTGAAAAAATACCTATTCAGATCATTTGCCCATTTTTAATTGTAAGAATTCTTTGTGTTTTGGATACTAGACTAAGGTGACCAGATTTTAACATTGGTAAAGCGGGACACCATTGACTGGGGGGAGGGGGCTCTTAATTAAAAATTTGGTCTTTATAGAGCAACAAAAATTTTCATAGAATGCAAAAATAGCATTGTAATATATATTTTTTAAATTTCAACTTAAGTACAAGTTACAGATATAATACATTAAAAATATGTATAGGGCGGTGCCTGTGGCTCAAATGCCAAAGGTGGCGGGTTCAAACTCAGCCCTGGTCAAAAAAAAAAAAAGAATTATGTATAGTATTATTTTATTCTTTGGCATATTTCTCATTTGAGTGAATTTTTTTTTAGTAGATTGCTGTCATTGTTTAAAAGGTCATGAAATTTTTCATAAGAATTTGTTAAATTATATTTCATACATAAAATGGCTTTCAAAGTCTCAACACTTAATTGTGATTTTTCTGATGTCCACACTTTATTTACCGTAGAAAAAAACATGTTCAGTCACAGCATTAGTTCCTGGTAAGGACAGCATATATTCCACAATTTTTAGTGCATTATTGTATGGACCATGGTTTGTTTCAAAATGATGAAATATTTCTAGACATTTGTTCTCTATTGTGATTTTTGCTGATGCCCAAGAGTTAACCTTTTCCTTATCAATATATTTTTTTAATAATGACACCTTGTAAGTTGTAAGTATCACTTTCAAGGCCAGCGCTAGACTTTTTGCCGCCACTATAAAATATAAATAATATGAGTACTGTCTGCTAAATTCATGAAATAAATAAATAAATAAATTACTTACCTAAATTATCCAAATAGCTGATTTGTTGACATCATTTGTTTAACTAGCACTAGCACGCTAGTTACAAAATGTTTTTGTGGTTGCCAATGCCAAAAAATACCATTGTTCATTAAGTCCAAACAATGGTGGTTGAATTCTAACAACTGATAACAATGCAAACTTTGATAAGCAGTTCTCAACAATTATTTGTTATTATTAAAGTTTAACATTATACAATTAACAAAAATAATATAAAACTCGTATCTTGGTGAAATAGCCATATGGCACTATTGGGACCAGAATTGCTACTGAGAGACCACCACACACATGTAAAGACAAAAAATGCTTTATTTTGCAAGCATATGCCTGGGCCACTGTTCCCTTCAGCGTGGCTGGAGGAAGGGCGACCCCCTAGTGAAGCGAGCTGAGGTTTTTAAAGTGCATTGGGTGTTTTGTTGGGGGGCTGAGCTGTTTATGGTTAGGGACCCTTTGGGGGGGGGGACACTTGTTTGTTCCAGACAGTTTGGCTCCTTCTGAGCTAATTGTCCTTGCCTAGAAGCAGAGCCAGTCTCCTTCTGATAGGGATTCCACCTGGGCGACCTTGCCCAGGAAGGGAGTAGGGCGTTTACATTAGCCTTTTCATTTCCAAATGAAGTTACATTAACCTCTTCATTCCCAAATGGAGTTACATTAACCTTTTCAGCAGCCTAAAAACATATATTCTCTTCCCATTCTCCTGCTGTTCCCTAGCTTGTCGTGCATTTTTCCCAAAACTCGGGACTTTTTAAAAATGCCGTGGGACGCAGGACAAATTGTTAAAAATCGGGACTGTCCAGCCAAAAGCGAGAGGTCTGGTCATCTTATACTAGACCCTTATCAGACTTATGATTTGCAGTTATTTTCTCCCATTTTATGAATTTTATTTTCACTTGATAGTGTTCTTGGAAGCACAAATTTTAAAACTTATGATGAAATCAAGTTATAACCTTTCTTTAGTATATATGTTTTATGTGGCATATCTAGAAAACCATTGTAGATTTACCTCTATGTTTTCTTTCTTAGAGACAAGAGTCTCACTTTGTTGCTCTCGGTAGAGCTCTGTGGCGTCACAGCTCACAACAACCTACAGCTCTTGGGCTTAGGCGATTCTCTTGCCTCAGCCTCCCGAGTAGTTGGGACTACAGGCGCCCATCACAATGCCCAGTACCCTGTTCACTGAGCCACAGGTGCTGTCCAACCTTTATGTTTTCTTCTAAGAATTTTATAGTTTTAGCTCTTCTGATCTGTTATGAATTAATTTTTGTGGGTGATATGAGGAAGAGTCCAACTTTATTATTTTTAGAGATACAGTTTTGCTCTGTTACCCAGGCTGGAGTGTAGTGGTATAATCATAGTTCACTGCAGACTGAAACTTCTGGGTTGTAGTGACCCTCCTGCCCAGCCTCCTGAACAGCTAGCACTACAGGCATGTGCCACCACACTCAGCTAATTTTCTTTATTTTTTTTGTAGAGACAGAGTCTTACTGTGTTGACTTGGCTGATCAAACTCCTGGCCTCAAGTGATATTAGGGACACTACAAAAGTTTTGAGAGACACAAAATTAAGAAACATTAAATCATTTAGATTACTATATTTTCTCAAAATAATTGCCATGACATTCTAGGTACTTTTGCATTCTTGTAAACCATTTTTGAAAACACCATTTCCATTCATTTTCTTCAAGCTCATTTTTGTAGGCATGAACAGCTTCTTCATGGCTGGAGAACTTTCTTCGGTGCATGCAGTTTTTTAATGTAAGGACTAAGAAATAATCACATGGGGCCAGGTTAGGACTG